CAGTCTCCCTATCCCTCTGTTCCCTATGGGCATACATCGCTCCACTTTGTTACCCAGAAGGCCTTGAAATACCCAATACACCCAGGGAAGGAAGCTGGAACCGAGGTCTCCTGGATCTCCTGCCCTGGAGCAAGTCTGCCTTAGGGGTCATTTTAGTCCAGGCCAGGAGGCACAGTACTCCTCCTCCAACAGAGGGGCTGGGGCCAGATGTGGCATCTTCGATCCTCCCATTACCCCTTTTTGGGTTCCCAAATCACTCTTCCTCCACTTCAGACCTGTCCCTCTGTCTTAGACACCTAAACTCAGATTGGCCTCTCCAAGGGAAGGTCACCAAAGATGCCATGAACTTGGGGGAGGGGGAAGAACAGGGCTCCAGTGTGGGTGGGCCTAGCCCTGTCCTGGAGAGTCTTCTGTGGTAGGTAGACAGTGCCCTATCCTGGGAGAACATTTTGAGGGTAGGACACATGGCAGAGTCTCCCTGGCTAGGAATGGTTTGTTTCTGGGTCTCCAGAGAAGGCACTGGAAGTCATTTCTTTGCGAACCCCCCCCCCCATCTCCAGCCCTGAGATTGAGGCCCCGTACACCAGTGAAGAGGAGCAGGAGCGGCTGCTGGGCCTCTACCAGTACCTGCACAGCCGAGCCCACAATGCCTCCCGCCCACTCAAGACCATCTACTACACAGGCCCCAATGAGAACCTCCTGGCCTGGGTAAGGTGGCCCTGGGCTGGCCTGGGCTTTATCGGGATCCCGGGCAGAGGGCCTGAGGGCTACCTAACCTCAATGACTACCCTGTGCCCCCTCCTCCAGGTGACAGGTGCCTTTGAGCTCTACATGTGCTACAGCCCCCTGGGGACCAAGGCATCTGCCGTCAGTGCCATCCATAAGCTGATGCGCTGGATCCGCAAAGAAGAAGACCGCCTCTTCATCCTTACGCCCCTCACCTACTGATGGGAATGTGTGTGGGTTCAGCCCTCTTCGGCACACTGGGCCATGGAAGCCACGGGAGCCTCCACGTGGGTTGGCCTCTGTTGCCCAGGCAGCAGGTGGGGACTGTGGGTTGGTGCGTGCATTAAAGTGCTTTGGGGAAGACACTCGTTGGGCCTTGTCACTGGTCCCTTCACTCACCCACTCTCACTCACATACAGATACCGGATCCTTCTCCCTGGTCCTTGCCTGTGCTCCCCCACGCACAGGGCCACATGCACATTTGAGTCCTTCTCCTCCCTCCCTTGCACAGCATCAGGCCACCGGCACTCAGAGTCAAAACTGGGGCTGGGGCTCTCTGCATTCAGCTAAAGTCTTGCCACACATAAAGTGTTCTCCAGCACCTCCTGGCCTTGCACCCCACCGCCCCACCCCAACATTCAGTCGGAGCCCTGGCGCCTCCCCTCTCACTCCTAGGAGGGGCCCCCAGCGATGTGCCCCAAAGGACCAGTCATACGCTCTGGGAGGTGTGGCTCTGCTTACTGGGCTGAGTAAGATTCGGACGGTCAACTAGGGAGAGTCTGAGCCTTGGTACGTGGGGGTTGGAGCCCTTGGTGAGGTGGTCCAGTGTTCAGCACAGACCTCAAGATTCAGAGTTCAGCTTCACCGTAGCTCTAGGCCTCTGCGGAAATTGTCCCAGCTTGAAGGGCTATCCACCTCAGCATCTGTCCTTCCAGCCAGTACATTCCTCAGGATGGCCCCAGGAGTGAGCTGGAGGGCCTGCAAGAAGACCCAGCTGACTTCTGGGGAGAGGTGAACCCTGCCCTAGGAAGGGCAGTTGCCACTAGGGACACTGGGCCCTTTTCAGCCACCCGATACCCTGGAATGGCCCAGCCCACGGGGGTCACTGTGGACATCCCTGGAGGCTCAGCAGTGAAGGCCCAGCCCCATTCACTCTATCCCGAGACCCTCTTTGGGCAGAACCCAAGGCACAGCTCAGAAAGCTTCTACCTTGCTGCTGGGGTGGGAGGGGGGGGGGGCTTTTCCAGTTCTGCCACAACTTAACCATCTCATTGGCTAGGGGAGCAGAAGACCTAGGAAATGTTTATGGGAGAAGAGTGTCCACTGAGTATGGTCTTCAGACTGTAGAGTGAATCACCCTCATGTAGTCTCTGAGAGCTGGGCTAAGATACTCTGCCACTAAAAACAACCCATGTTGGGAAAAGAAATTTGTGTGGGTAGCATGGGCCAAGGGTACACTGGAATGGTTCAATTGCTGTCCCAGGAAATGGCAGCATAGTCCCTGCCCTTGGCCCCATCCTGGATCACATTAGAATGGGTATGGCCGCAAGCCACCTGCCCTGACCCCAGAGTCCTTGCGGAACAGCCACAGGCTTGGTGGTGCTGCTCACCCTGCACATGTGCCCTGGGTCTCTTTTCTGCCCGTTCCTGCTTCTGTTTCTCCCCTTGATCCTGGCCAGTGCACCAAACCGCTGTCTCTGGGGCCCGGGTGATGCCAGGACTGCTATCAGCATTCTTCTGGTCAGTGGTCCTCCCCTAGGAGCCCCTGTTGGCTGCTGTGATCCTCGTAGGGTTCTCAGCTTCTCTGCAGTTCAGCACCTATTCTGGGTGGGTGTGGAAAGGGGTGGTGACAATCAGGAGGCACCTAAAGTGTGGGGTTTATCTGGGGATCAAGGAATAACAGGCAAACAGGGAAGGTGCTCCTAGTGGGGGAACCAGCACGTGCAACACAAAGGACTTGATAAAGAACCTGGTATTACTGGTTTACACCGAAGCCGGAGGAGTTTTCAAGGCCTAGGGTTCTCGAACTCCAGGTAAAATTCTGGCACTGGGGAGCCACTGAACGTTTTAAAGCTGCAGAATGATACGGTCATACCGTGGTTAGAGAGATCCCCTCTGACACTCAGATGATCTCTTTGGGTTGGAGAAAAAGGCCAGCACTAGTTCTTTGGAGTAGTGTTCAGAGGGGTGTGAGAGCCCAAAATGGGAAGAGAGGGCACTCCTTCGAGGTCACAGATGCCAGGGTAATTGGGCAGGTCCTAAGTCAAATATGGGCCAGGCCTTATGAGCTCAGCTTGGGGGAGCACTTATACCTAGCACAGACTTCCCCCACATGGTTTGCCTCCCCCCTCCTGCAGACTGAGCAGTTGGGGGAGGAGGAAGGGGTTGCTCCTGTGGATGCTTGCTATCCAGGACCAGGGCTGCCCAGGAAGGGACGCTGGCTTGGGGGCAGCCAACATCTTGGCCACATGGTGGCAGCAAAGAATCAACTGTTGACTGCTGTATCCCAACCCTCAAAACAGGTGGATAGGGTGATCAAGGAGGGCCCTGAAGTCTCCTCCCAACCCACAAAAATCTCTCCGAACGTCCTGAGGCAGGATGGGGGTCCAAGAAACTATGTCCTAGTGCCAGCAGAGACTGTTTCATTTCAGTTTTGCCATGCATGACTATCAGGCATGTGCATGTTGGCTGTGAAACACAGGAACCATGCCATGATTTTTTTATAGGTATTTATTCATTTCCGGGCCAATTCTGGTTAGAGAAGGGAGTGCCTTTTACGTTGCCCAAGGCTTGGAATCCTCCCAACACTGGGTGTGGCTGCCCACTCCTGCATTTCCTCTCTCCACCAGGTGCTCATTGACCTCCAGCCTTGAGCGGGGAGGGAGTCCAGCACTAGGGATGGGGAAAAGGTCCCCCAGGTATCCAGAGTCAACTGTGCTGGGGTGGGTATAGCACAGGATCTGTGGGACCCACAAAATGGATCTGGCATTGACAGGATCAGGAGGGCTTCCTGGAGGAGGTGCCATCTAAGTTCCAAGAGGAGGAAAGGAAAAAGGTGCTCCTGGAAGGAGGAACAAGGAGTATGGTCTGGATGGGGGAGTACAGAAGATACAGCTCCAAAAGTCAGGCTGAATGAATCCTGCTGGGCTGAAAGCTCCTCTCTCTCCCACCGCTCTTACCTTCCAAAGCCCTGGGACCCACAGTTCACAGATCCCTCAGACCTCAGCCTAGGGCCACTCTATGAACCTCCCCCCGCCCAGGGTCCAGGCCCACCTGGCTGAGGGGGCTGTCAGGCTGACGACGTCCCCCAAAGCCCCTCTCCAGTACTGGGGAGAAGCAGTTATCAAGGAGCGGCTGCTGAAATCCAGGTGTAGCCTCTCCTCCTCCCAATCCCATACACTTCACACACCAGAGAGAGAACTCTGGGCAGCCACCTAGTTAGAACTACATCCTCATTTCAGAGACAGAGAGACGGAGGCCCAGCATAGCTCACAGAGCAGGTTAGAGGTCCCCTGTCAAAGCCTATGTTCCCCCCATAGCAGGGGGTACTGGAGCACAGCCAGCAAGGCCAGCACTGTGTTTTGTTATCCCCATCCTGCAAATTCTGCGGACTGAGGCAGCCGTGGAGGTACCAGAGCTATAGGGTTGGGCCTCCACAGAAGCTGCCTCTTCTCTGACTCTAATGTCTAGCCAGCACGGTGGGCCCCAACACATAACCCCTACCGCCTTGGGCAGGTAGGGTGCAACGCACCTTCCTCACACCATCCTGGCACTGACATCCCAGGGCAGGCCCAAGGACCGATGGCTCCTGACCACAAAGGGTAGCGGTACCACTGGAGGGCCCCACGTCTCCCCTCTGGTCTTCCACACATTCTTGGCCTCTCAGGGGTCCCCAGGCCCTGTTCGGGAACCAGCGTCTGAGTGTGTTGCTGTATACTCGTGACAAGGGAAGAAATAAGCCAGGTGGTCCTCAAACCCTCACTGGTGCTGGGCCCCCTTCCCTCCTCACTTCAGCCTAGTCGGGCTTGGGGGTTCGTGAGGGACGGCTCAGGCCTCCTTACCTCTCTCCGGGCCACTCCACGCACACCCACCCACACGCCACGGAGAAAAACGCGCCCAAGAAGTGTAGGTGACAGGCCTGCGAGGGCCTGGAGAGTCGGGTGGGCGGAGGGGCTGGTTAGTCCAGGCCTTCGGCAGGCCCCGCCTACAGCTCCGCCCCCACACCCTGGCCCCGCCCGCCCCGCCCAGCGCCCTCGGGCCGACTTTGCTCGGAGCTGAGGCTTTGAGCGGCAGCTGGGGCGGCAGCTGGGGCGGCAGGTGAGGCGGCTTCTCTGTTCCCTGGCGGTGTCTGTGTGTCCACCTGGTGCCAGGTGCTCAGACCCGAGGGCAGGGGAGGGCGCTGGGCGTCACGGTAGCCCCGGGCGGGGCTCAGCTGCCGGAGGGCTCTCAGGACGGGCTCTGGACGCGGGTCCCAGCCTCGACTTTCCTCGAGTCTGCTCCCAGCCAGGCCCGGGCCTGCAGGAGTCCCTGCGGGGCCCAGCTGGGCCTGGATGGAGCTTCTCCCGCTGCCGTCTCAGCCCTCACTGTTCCTGCTGCTGCTGCCGCCGCTGCTGGCCACGGGGTCCTGGCAGTGCCCGCACACCTCCTTCGCCGCCTTGCGCGATTTTGACGTGGAGTACGAGGTGCCCAGCTTCTTGGCCGGAGCTCCGGTGCAGGCCATAACGACCTACGAGGGCGGCGAGGACGGGAGTGCCGTGTTCGTGGCTACACGCAATCGCCTGTACGTGCTTGGGCCTGGCCTGCAGCCAGTAGAGAGCCTGGCCACGGGCCCTGTTGGGGACCCTGGCTGCCAGACATGCGCAGCCTGTGGCCCGAGCCCCCACGGCCCACAGGAAGACACAGATGCACAGGTGCTGGTACTGGAGCCCGCGCTGCCCGCCCTGGTCAGCTGCGGCTCGAGCCTGCATGGCCGCTGCTTCCTGCACGAGCTTCAGCCCGGAGGGACAGCCTTGCACCTGGCACCGCCAGTCTGCCTCTTCTCCGCCCACCACAACCGACCTGAGGAGTGCCCTGACTGTGTGGCCAGCCCTCTGGGCACCGTCGTGACCGTGGTTGAGCAGGGCCATGCCTCCTACTTCTACGCGGCATCCTCGCTGGACGAGTCGGTGGGCGCGAGCTTCAGCCCCCGCTCAGTGTCCATCCGGCGCCTCAAGGCCGATGCCTCAGGATTCGCACCCGGCTTTGCAGCACTGTCAGTGCTGCCCCAGCATCTGGCTTCCTACCCTATCGAGTACGTGTACAGCTTCCGCGCCGGGGACTTTGTCTATTTCCTGACCGTGCAGCGGGTCAGCGAGACAGCCCCCCCGGGCGCCTTGCACACGCGCCTGGCACGGCTCAGCGCTGCTGAGCCCGACCTGGACGACTACCGTGAGCTGGTCCTCGACTGCCGATTTGCGCCCAAACGCCGGCGCCGCAGGGCCTCTGAGGGAGGACAGCCCTACCCGGTGCTGAGAGCCGCCCACACCGCTCCCGTGGGCAGCCGGTTGGCCACGGAGCTGAGCATCACCGAGGGCCAGGAAGTTCTCTTCGGAGTCTTCACGGCTCAGAGCGACAGCAGCCCCGGTGTGAGTCCCAACTCTGTCGTCTGTGCCTTTCCCATCGACCTGGTGGACACTCTCATCGAGCAGGGTGTGAAGCGCTGCTGTGAGTCTCCTGTCCTCCACGGCCTGCAGCGAGGCCTCAACTTCTTCCAGTCGCCCAGTTTTTGCCCCAACCCGGTGAGCAGAAAGGAGGGACCCTCACCTGGGAGCAGGTGGCTCAATCCAGTGAGAGGGGCCGAGAGGGGAAAGGGGAGGAGGGGAGAAATTTTCTCTTCCACCCAGTTCCTTAGCACTGGGGCAGCGGGGTGGAGTGGTGCCGGGGTGCGGGGATCAGCCAAGCCCAGGCTACCTTGGAGGTTCACCTCCCAGCCAGGCTAGCCCCTATTGCTCCTCCATTTTGCTCTTTCACCCTCTCAGTTACCATGGCCTCTGATTTTTTAGGTAGTTTCCCAGATTGTGTGAGAACCAGCTTGCATCACAACTGTCTCTGGCAGACACACTGCCAAACTCCGGGTAGAAGGATGGGATCCCCTCCTACCGGCCCACCACACATTCCCTCAGGCACATACACAGAGAAACAGCCCCCCACACGGCAGATGCTAACAGAGTCACACAGATAGAGCTACTCACCAACACAGTTCTGTTTTCCCTTTGGAAGCACTTGTTTTGTTCTGCTCTCCAAAGAGGGTGGGCAGGAGTTGTCAGAGAAAGCCCCCACCCCCAATTCAGGGAGCCTTCTGGGCCTTGGAAGTTTGGGGGCTTGTCCAAGAGCCTCCATGGCTTGGGCTTCACTGACACACTCATCCCCGATTGTTCTCTATGGGAGTTCTCTGTGGGGAGGACGTAGGACATGGTGGAGGCGGCTTGGCTCTTGTAAATTCCGGGAGGCTCACCCCAGTCTTGTGCAAGCAACTGTAAACATCTGGGGATGAGTAAAGCCTTAGGAAGGGGTGGTTGGAATTGGTTCACCACTAAGGAGTCCCAGGCTTTCTTCCACTATAGTCGGGGCCCTGCTCCAGTTTCCCTTCTCACCCCAGGCAGGAGGTCTCCCAGCCCATGCTGAACTGGGGGCTCTTTCCAGCAGGCCCTACCCAGGTTCTCTCCAGCCATGGTGTCAGGGAGCTGGAGGAGAGACAAACAGGACATTCGTTAAAAGATGCTGAGGATAAAACCCAAACCGACCCTTTAGAGCCATTGAAACAGTCCTACCCTAGCTTATAAGAGATTAAACCAAGGCAACGGGGTGAACAGCCTTAGAGGAGTGGTCTTTCAGTGAGCTGACTCACAGGCACTGCTCTCAGAGTCTTTGGTTGCCCTGTGGCCCTGGCCCTTCTGTGACATTCCCCGCTGATTCCTTTCTAGCTCTTATGGATGCCTCAGACGTGGGAGGAGAACTTAACAGACAGCAAGGAGTGGGCGATTTCCAGCCTCACTCCCTCAGCTGAGTCTCTCTGCGTTGCAGAGACCCTAGTAGGGGTGGAGGGCCCTCTTCTGGGCCTGGGCAGCCCCGCCTGCCCTCCTCGCTTTCCCTCGGGGAGTCAGAACCTCTCCCTGACTTGGCTGGTGGTCAGTAGGTCAGAAGACAGCCAGCATGAGTTGGCAGTGCCAGGTTCTAGGAGGACTGATCTCAAGATGGCTCACAAGCTGGCCAGGCCCCTGGGAGGTGTGTGAGCCAGCCTGTACTGTGTTTGCTTGGTGACGGGGCACGTAGTCTCCAGGGCTACACCCACTTTGTGCTGATTGTGGCTGGCCTCAGGAAGCCTGTGGGGCTCTTATCTGGCACCTGCCCTCTGTGGGTTCAGGTAGGGTTTAAGTCTGGAGCAGTCACCCTCCTCTCTGGGGCCCTGGGCCCTTGAGTCATGTTTTCAGGAGCCATGGGCTCATAGACAAGCCTGGAAACCCAGAGCTAAGGCCCTGGAACCCAGGGGCAAGCAGACAGGGGTGTGGCCCTGACTGGAGTAGGGCCTCTTTTCCACCCCTCAGCCTCACCTGTCCCTGAGTCATGCTGAAAACACCTGGATGGCTTCCAGCGAAGGCCAGGCCCCTTTCACCGCCTCAAGTGAGGACCGAGTCCCAGTTCCCACCCACCCAGGCTACAGACGAAGAGTGTGTAGAGTTTCTGCGCCCAGCTCTGCACCCCCAGGGCTCCTGATCAGCACCGAGGTCTGAGCACTAGGTTAAGCATACTTGGTTTGATGGGAGCCTCAGGGCTAGCAAGGGAAGGTCCCAAGCAGCTAGGGCTACTAGCCCTGTCTGCGCTTTGCACTCACCTCCAAAACCTTGCATTTTTACCCTGATCTGATTTCTCAGAAGCTTCCACAGTCCTGCCTTGGAGCCTTGAGTGCAGCCCCTCAAACACCTTCCCGTTAAGAGCAGAGGAGAGGTGTCTCACAATCCCTGGGGCCTAGCCTTCAGGCCTCAGTTTTTCCCTTTTGTACCCTGAAGGGGATCCAGGTAGCAGCTGGAGGTGCAGGGAGATCTTTGGAATCTCAGGGAGAAGGACCATGTTACCAGTCCCATGCTGGCTCAGTTACCTTCAGAGTTTAGCCACCTTACACTGGAGAGGAAACGGAAGCCCAGGCTGAAGTGCAGGGCATAACCGGCAGGGGGCGGAAGAGGACTGGTCAAGAGCTCGGACTTCTTACTGGCTCCTCTCCTGAGAGGAGGCTATAAGACCCCGGACAAGTGACCAAATACACTCTGAGCCCATTTCCCTATCTGCAAAATGGGAGTGGTGAGAGCACCCACTTTATAGGGTGGTTGTGAGGACGGAATGGGGTTGGGCCTGTAAGACTCTAAGTCATTATCAGAATGAACATGGCAGGTCAGAGCAAGGCATAGGAGAAGCCGGTCTTCCAGCCTTCTTTCCTGGCCTCTGAGAGACCCATAGGTGGAAGGGGGCAGGTAAGTGGCAGGCGTGGGGCCTTATCTAGCTAAGCTAGGTAAGGGATGGGGGTTTGGGCTGCTGTGGTCACTGACAGAGGTGATGAGCCCTGACCCCTTCCCTGGCCCTCCCCAGCCTGGCCTGGAGGCCCCCAGCCACAACACCAGCTGCCATCACTTCCCTCTGCTGGTCAGCGGCAGCCTATTACGTGTGGACCTCTTCAACGGGCTGCTAGGACCAGTGCAGGTCACTGCACTGCACGTGACACGCCTCGACAATGTCACAGTGGCCCACATGGGCACAGCCGATGGGCGCATCCTACAGGTAGGACTCCCACCATCTCCATGGCTCCCTGTCCCTGGGTCCCCATCCCCATTTCCATTTTGCTCACAGCTGACCTGTCCCAGGTGGAACTGGCCAGATCTCTCAACTACTTGCTGTATGTGTCCAATTTCTCACTGGGCAGCAATGGGCAGCCCACGCAACGGGATGTCAGTCGCCTTGGAGACCACCTGTTCTTTGCCTCTGGGGACCAGGTAAGGTGGGACTGGGGTCAGGGCTGGAGCCAAGACTGTGGGAGCATAGCCCCTCCATCCCATCCCGCCACCCTGACCTACAATAACCAGGGCGCCTATGGGGTCTGGTTCCCCCTCCCAGCACCCCTGAGCCACCTGTCTGCCACTCCAAGGTCTTCCAGGTACCTATCCAGGGCCCTGGCTGCCGCCACTTCCTCACCTGTGGGAGTTGTCTGCGGGCACAGCGTTTCATGGGCTGTGGCTGGTGTGGAGACATGTGTGGCCGGCAGAAGGAGTGTCCTGGCTCCTGGCAACAGGATCATTGCCCACCTGAGCTTACTGAGGTATGGCTTGCTTGGCAGGGCACAGGTAAGGGTGGGACAAGCTGGGCCTGGGGTGGGGCTCAGCATGTCTTTTTAAAAATTTTTTAATACTATTTCTTTTAGTATCTTTTTTTTTTTTAAAGATTTATTTATTTAAGAGAGAGCGCGAGTGCATATGTACACGTGAGCGGGGAAGGGGGAGAGGGAGAGAATCTTAAGCAGACTCCTTGCTGGGGGTGGAGCCCAACATGGGGCTTGATCCCACAACCCTGAGATCATGACCTGAGCCAAAATCAAGAGTCTGACGTCCCCCCAGGCGGGGGATCAGCATGTCTTAACCATGATCCTCAGGCCTGGAATGTCCTCAGTATTGCCAAGAAGGGTATTCTTGGCAGAGAGGATGGCACATGCAGAGACTTGGAGGCAGAAAAGTGCCTGAGTGAGGACTAGGGAGTGGCCTAGGGGACTGGAGGGAGGGCAAGCAAGGGGCATGACCAAAAACTCTGGGGAAAGCAGACAGCTGAGAGCCCTGACCCACACAAGGGACTCAGGCTCTCTCCCCCTCTTCAGTTCTACCCGCAGAGTGGACCCCGAAGGGGCAGCACAAGGCTGACCCTGTGCGGCTCTAACTTCTACCTGAACCCTGCTCCTCTGGTGCGTGAGGGCACCCATCAAGTCACCGTGGGCCAAAGTCCCTGCCGATTGGACAGTTCAAACCTCAGGTATAATCTGGTCTCTGCCCTTTCTATCCCTGACAGGGGTGACCAAGCAGCCCCTTCCCTCTGAGACCCTGTCTTCTGCTTGCTGGGGGCAAGGAGGTAGGAGGCAAGCTGCAGTGGTTCTGGCTGCTTGGTGTCTGAGGAGACATCTCTGTCCCTTCTTGAGCCTGTATATGCCCTACCCATCTGTGGAGTCGTGGAACTGGGCAAGGTTAGTCCCTGCCTCACCAGATCCTGCCTACCCTGGAGGAAGGAGAGTGAAGAGATGCCGTCTTTGGCCTCAGGGGAGACCTGATATGTGGCAGGCATGCACCCAAGCCTGTGTGACCCCTGACTGACCTTGGATTCCCCTGGTGCCCTAGACCCGTGCCCCGGAAAAACCTTGTAGAGGAGCTTGAGTGTGAGGTGGAGCCCTCGGACATGCAGCCAGCTGGACCAGCCAATATCAGCCTCACCGTGACCAACATGCCCCCAGGCAAGCACTTCCGGATAGATGGCACCTCCATGCTACAAGGCTTCTCTTTCATGGTGAGGCCACCTTGCCTTGTCTGTGCCCTTGGCCAGCCGGGCAATATGGGCAGTGAGGGGCTTGGAGTGGAAGGCCTCTTATGCCAAGCTAAGCCACCTCCATACCCTCTTAGGAGCCAGTGCTGACAGCAGTAAAACCCCTCTTTGGCCCACGGGCAGGGGGCACCCGCCTCACCCTTGAAGGCAAGGGCCTGTCTCTAGGCACCAGCCAGGCTGTGCTGGTCAATGGGACTGAGTGCCCACTGGAACGGTAAGTGCCAACAGGCCAGGGGAGGGGAGGCTACAGGGCACCCCCCCCCCCCCCGGGAGCCCTTACCACGTGGGACTTGGATCCTGCCAGGGCAGAGAGAGGAGAGCTCAGTCACATGGTCAGTGTAGGGAGCAGGTCCAGGAAGAAGGCTCTGTTGCCCCCTTCAGCCCAGAGGCAGTCTGGGGATGGTGAGACAACCCATCACAGAGTTTATTAGCTCCAACCAAGGCTGTGGGGAACGTGTTCCCGCCCCGCCTTCTTGGAAGACTTAATGGCCCCATCTTCAAACAGACCCACCAAGTATGGGCAGGTTGGGATGACCAACAGAGGAACTGGGAGGGATTGGCCGACCCTTGGAGAAGGTAGGTCTGGCCATTACGGAGGGTGATCCTGAGCCCAATCCCCCACCCCGTTCTGCAGGGTCATCGAGGGGCAGCTTTTATGCACCACGCCCCCTGGGGCGGCTACGGCCAGCGTTCCCATTCACCTGCAGGTGGGGGGCGCTGTGGTGCCTGGCTCCTGGAACTTCCACTACCGGGAAGACCCTGTTGTGCTGGGCATCAGCCCCAACTGTGGCTACATGTAAGTGCCACCCCCTTGCCCGCTCTGGTCTCCTAGGAATGAGGGAGCCAGCCCGAGAGAGCACCCCAAGCCCACCACACTGCTCTGCTCCACAGTGGCTCCCACGTCACCATCCGTGGCCAGCATCTGACTTCGGCGTGGCGCCTAGTGCTGTCATTCCATGATGGGCTTAGGGCAGTGGAAAACAGGGTGAGCGGGCACGGGCAGCTGCCAAGTGGGCACTAGCCAGGAGGGAGGAAGGCTGAGTTCCAGCTCTACCCCACGCTGGGCTGAGGAGACCGGGGTGGCGGGAGATGGAACGCCTGGCTCACCACTCTTGCCTGGGCCCCAGCAGTGTGAGGGGCAGCTCCCGGAGCAGTACTCGTGCCACCTGCCCGAATATGTGGTCCGAAGCCCCCAGGGGTGGGTGACGGGGAACCTGAGCGCCCGGGGGGATGGAGCTGCTGGCTTCACGCTGCCAGGCTTTCGCTTCCTGCCCCCACCACATCCACCCAGCATTGACCTGGCTCCACTGAAGCCTGAGGAGCATGCCATTAAGTTTGAGGTAAGCATGGGGGATGGAGGGCAGGGACGGTGGAGGGTTGGGGCTGAAGCCTTGCCCAGAGGAGATGGGGGCACTGGCCAGTCCTCATGACTGTCTCTGCAGTATATTGGGCTGGGCGCGGTGGCTGATTGTGTGGATGTGAACGTGACCATGGATGGTAAGAGCTGCCAGCATGAGCTCCGGGGAGATGTGGTCATCTGCCCCCTGCCCCCCTCCCTGCAACTCGACAAGGACGGTGTCCCCCTGCAGGTAGGCAGCTCAGCTGGCCCTCCGCAGGAGACGTGGGCCGGGGCTTACAGGCTGGGCCTGAGCTGCTACCTGCCCCCAGGTCTGCGTGGATGATGAATGTCACATCCTGGGCAGGGTGGTACGGCCGGGCCCGGAGGGGGTCCCCCAGGGGCTACTCCTCGGTCTCCTGCTGGCCCTGCTCCTGCTTGTGGCTGTGCTGGCCGCTGCGCTGATCTTCAGCTACTGGCGGAGGAAACAGCTAGGTGAGCTCTCCACTCCCCTCCCGACTCAGCCTGTACCCCCAAACCATGGCCTCTCCAAGTCTCTGTATCCTCTTTCTGCCCAGGCCTTGGCGGTCTGCCCACACCCCCTGGGTACAGGGCAGCCTCTAGGAGTTTGGAGAGGCTGGCCACCAAGGGCTGTCTTTCCACAGTCCTCTCTCTAAACCCAGGCGACCTGGTGTCCTTGGACTGGAGGGCCGGAGCCGTGCCCTTGCCTGTGCTCCGCTTGGGCTCTGACTACAGAAATGGCCTTGGTGAGCTGGGGGAAGCGCTGAAAGCTGGAGCCACACCCTCTACTCCACAGGCCCCTCACTCTATCTCCTCCACAGCAGCCCCTGACGCCGATGGTCCGGATGGTCCGGATTCCACCACCCGGGACTACAAAGCGTCCTCCGCAGACAGTGGGGATGGGTCCTGCGTCCCACTGCTGCGGACAGCGTCCATCCAGCTTGGGGACTTGGACTCTGCGCTCCTGGCCGAAGTCAAGGATGTGCTGATCCCCCATGAGCGGGTGGTCACCCACAGTGACCGAGTCATTGGCAAAGGTGTGGGGGCCAAGACAGGTGGGGCTGGGGCACAGATGGAGTCCTGAGATGGCAAGGGCTCAAGGGACATTTAGGCAGGACTCCGCTCTGGCCTTTTCACCAAGCTTTGTGACCTTGGGAATACCACAGAACCTCTCTGAGCCTCCATTTGCTCACCTGTGGAGTAGGAAATCGTTCTGTCTTCAGTGGATTCTGGGGCAGATTAGGCGGGCGTGGGTGGGCTGCAGGCTCTGTCACCGTGTAGCTGCTGCTTGTTTTTAATGTCAGATTGGCCAGTTGGTGCTCTGGGGTTTGGTTGCCGGTGACAGCATGTGGTGTGCACCCCAGGCCATTGGGGCCCCCTCACCATCTCCCCTTCACCAGGCCACTTTGGAGTTGTCTATCATGGAGAATACATAGACAAGGACCAGAATCGAATCCACTGTGCCATAAAGTCGCTGAGTCGTAAGTGGGGAAGAGGCCAGGAGGGTCCCCGGCCCTGCTGTGCTCCCCCACCTTGCTGAGTGACCCAGAGCAGGAGACCTTTCTTCTCCATTTCCCCATCTGACCCTGGCAGAGGGTCTCCCTGGTCTGAGCCTGACTCCAGCCACCCTGCAGGCATCACGGAGGTGCAGGAGGTAGAGGCCTTCCTGCGCGAGGGGCTGCTCATGCGCGGTCTGCACCACCGAAACGTGCTGGCTCTCATCGGTATCGTGCTGCCACCAGAAGGGCTGCCCCGTGTGCTACTTCCCTACATGCGCCATGGAGACCTGCTTCAGTTCATCCGCTCTCCCCAGCGGGTCCGTGCTCAGGTGGCCCAGGGCAGGCGGGGGGAGGCGGGGAGGGGGTCAGGCGACGTGGGCAGTGGCTGGGGATGCGTTGCTAAGCCCTTGCTTACTGACTCACCTGTGGCCCCCAGAATCCCACAGTGAAGGACCTCATCAGCTTTGGCCTTCAGGTAGCCCGCGGCATGGAGTACCTGGCAGAGCAGAAGTTTGTGCATAGGGACTTGGCTGCTCGGAACTGCATGTGAGGGGCCAGAGCATTTGGGGTGAAGCAAGGGGGGCAGGGCACCAGGGTGTGCAGCTGCCTAAAGGCACCTCAGGGAAGGGCCCCCACTCCAGCCCTTACCGTGCAGCCCTCGGCATGTCCACCCTTCTCCGGCCCTCTGTTTTTCTGTCTGCCCTGCGCAGGCTTAGATTGGACACTGTGGCTCTGAAGCCCTGTGAAGGCCTGGAACAAATGGGTTCAGGGCCTGGTGGGGGCCAGTCCTGAGTGTGATTTCCCTCCCACCCTCAGGCTGGACGAGTCATTCACTGTCAAGGTGGCTGACTTTGGCCTGGCCCGCGACATCCTGGACAAGGAGTACTACAGCGTTCGACAGCACCACCATGCTCGCCTCCCTGTCAAATGGATGGCGCTGGAGAGCCTGCAGACCTACAGATTCACCACCAAGTCTGACGTGGTGAGGCCACACCCGTCCCAGAGTCCACAAGGCCTCAGTGTCCTGGGAGAGCACTCGGCCTTGCCCATTCAGCTCCAGCTGATGATCTGAGTCCCGGGAGTCCCCAAGCTGAGCAGCCCCCCACACAGCCCATTTGCCCACCTCTGGAGCAGGTCTAAGATGGACTCCTCTTGCCAGGGCACGAGGGGGCTGTGAACTCATTGGCTCCTTGCCGACAATACAGGGCCTTCCCAGGCTCAACTCTGGGCAGGGTCCGGTGGTAAGAAGAGACTGAGGGAAGATGCTTATGAGGTATTGAGGAGTGGGCTCTGATTGATTTCCAGCTGGAGGGTTCTGGGAGGTAGAGGACCTGGGGGGCCCACCTTCCCCCAAATTTGGGGTAAGAATTGAGTCTCCTCTCCCCTTCCCACAGTGGTCGTTTGGTGTGCTGCTATGGGAGCTGCTGACACGGGGCGCCCCACCATACCCCCACATTGACCCTTTCGACCTCACTCAATTCCTGGCCCAGGGTCGGCGCCTGCCCCAGCCTGAGTATTGCCCCAATTCTCTGTGAGTATGCGGAGGTGGAGATGGGAGGGAGTTGGGCCCCAGAAACAAGGGAGGAGCAGGGGACAAAGCTCTCAGCTGGCTCTCTGACTGATCCTCTGGTCGACCTGGAAAGGGCCCCTCTCTGGGCCTCAGTTTCCTCATCTGTGGACCGGTTCCACCCCCATTTGGGGCTGAGTGCTGGGAGGATATCATGGTTGCCATGGTAACGGTACTCCCCACTCAGAGTCTGGGTTGAGGCCAGTGATTTGATTTCTCAGCACTCCTCTCACCCCACCCCCGCCAAGGGGGCCTGTTTTCCATCTTTTCCATTCACTTAACCTCAAGGAAAGGTTCCATTAGCTCCCACACTAGCCCCCTCCACATCTCCAGATCAGGATTTTTCCCTACTGAATATAGTTTCAGATTCCCTGTTCCCAAGGCACGGTGGCAGCTGCGTTGTCCCCGTGCCTGCCCGGTGGGTCTATGCGAGGGTTCAGCTGCGGAAGCGGTCCGCGTGCCTTGCCCGTGCCCAGGGCTTTGTGGTTAGGGCAGGAAGAACCAGGTCACAGGTAAAGGTGGTTGATGACTCCTGTCTCAGGCTGTGTTCCAAAAGGGTATGAGTAACCCTTCCTCCGGCCCTGCCTGCCTTGGGTTTGATCTTTATTATTCGTTTCACTAGTGCATCTGGTCTGAAGTAAGGGAAATCACCTTTACCGCCCATCTGCCCCGCCGGGTCAGGTTCCCTGAGAGAGCCTCTGAGCAGGGGCTATATGGACCGGGGGTTTCTTGGTAGACTGGGGGCCAGGGAAGCAGGACTGGGCTGGTGGAGAAGCTGGGCTGCCGTGCCCTGTGATGCAGCAGAGGCCGTAGCCCATCCCACAGCGGCTGCTTGATCTGGGGTGGCTCTTCGGAGTATTACAAAATTTAGATCAAGGGGCCTGGTCCTGGGACTAGACATTAGTAAGTCACTGGTCACAGTGAGAGCTTGGGGAAGGCAGCTGTCTTCTGCCTAGGGCACTTCCGAGGGAGGGCTTCAGCAAGAGCCGGCAGCCGCCGCTGGGATCTGAGTGGACCGCCACAGCATCCATTAGACCAGGCCAAGTCCATTCTCCTCTCGAGGCCTCAGTTTCCTCATCTGTAAAGTTGGGATGATGACAGTACCACCGTCAGAGAGTCTGAGAATTAGGAGATTATTGTGTGCAGGGCACTTAGTGTCACTTAAGGCAGGGATGGCATTTCCAAGATGAAGAGGCACGTATTAGGACCCACCAGGCAAACCCAGAGAAACACTGCTTGGGAATCACGGTGCCACTGGGGCCACCCCCCACGTCCGAGGCTCAGGACTTCTCATCCTCATTTCACTGGACACGGGCTTCCTTCCTAAAAGATATAACTGTGATAGTTCACGAACTGCGCCCTAAGCTCTGCACTTTACCTGCGTCCTCCCACCCTCTGCCCTAACAGCTCTGTGATCAGGGCACGATCCAGAGGCACAGAGAGCCTAAGGAACTTGCCCAAGATCACATTGTTCAGGTCACTGGGCACGGCAGTCCAAGCTCTTAACCTTCGGGGCAACTGGGCCTCTGCCAGGTGGGGAGGCAGGACTGGAACAGCAATCCGCAAGGCTGAGAAGAGCTGCCCTGACTGGGCAGCGCTCGGCAGTAGGCCCTGTCACCTGTCCTCATCGCTGTGTGGCCTGCCCTCGCGGATTCACAGCGGGTGGGCCGCCCCGAATCTCCAGCTGGGGATGCACCGTGCTCTGACATGCCCCTCCCCCCACAGGTATGCTGTGATGCATCGCTGCTGGGCCTCGGACCCGGCGGTGAGACCCACCTTCGCGGTGCTGGTGGAGGAAGTGGAGCACGTGGTGGCCAGGCTGCTCGGGGACCACTACGTGCAGCTGCCTGCAGCCTACGTGAACGTGGGCCCTGGTGCCTCGGATGAGGCCAGCAAGCCCCTGGGGCAGTCGCAGACCACGCCTGTGCACAGGAGCATGGGTCGGCCCCGGCCTCTCTCAGAGCCATCACAGCCCACGTGACCCCAGCCCTAGGCAGGCCCCAGGGACCGGCCCTGCCTAGCAGCCAGGGAGTTCGTCCCAACCTGCCTCTGGGCCCTGCCAGGCCTGGGGCAGCCCAAGCTGGCCTCTGTCCTGTCTCTGCCCCTGAACCTTCAGGGGCGACCCGAGGGAGCAGGGCCTCTTGGCCCCTCACTCCACAGAGGGAGCAGTGGGGTGATCCTCGATGCAATGAGTGTTTATGGGGTATCCGGTGTGTGCCCGACCTGCTGGGCACAGGAGACTCAACAGTGACCGCACAGGCACTGGCCCTTGAACTAGTAAATGAACAAACGGATATTCGAGTGCAAATTGTGGTCAGTGCTCTGAAAGAGAGGCAGGCTGCTTTGAGGGAATGGAGGGCAGCTTTAGAGAGAGAATAGAGGTGAGGGAAGCCTCCCTAGGAGGTGACATTTCTGCTAAGGCCCTGTCAGGTGGGAACTGTGCCAGAAGCAGAGATGTGGGAAGAGAGCTTTGGGCGAAGTGAGCAGCACATTCAAAGACTCTGGGGCTGGAAACAGGTAGGGTCAGCAAGAAGGCTCCAGGGAACAGGAAGGGCAGGGCAAGGCCCCGATCCAGGTTACAGGGCCCTGGGGACTTCTTGATGGAACCAAGAAGGGTGGGTTGAGGACCCAGGCGTGCAGTAGCCAGCCCGTGTCTGTCCCTTTCTAGCCCTTCTCAGAGCTCCCTGCTCCACCTGCAGCTCCCCTCACACATATACAGACCCCTCCCCCCCACACACACTATCAGGGCATGGAGACCAGTTCCCCTGTCCCCCCCAAATCCTGCCAGCATTGCCCCTGCAGCCTTGAGAGAGATGAGCCTGCAACAAGGCCTCAGCTCCACACTTCCAAGGCACCCGCTTCAAGATGCTGGACGGCCCAGGCTATTTATACTCGTCAAGGCCACTGCACAACAGCCACTAGAGGGGCAGACGCCACCGGAGAGCAAGAACAGTTTCCTCCTCATGCTGCTCCTCTCCCACACCCTGGATGCTAAAGGGGGCGGCTGGCATGCCAGTGACGGGGCCCAGGGCGTGCATCGTGGTCATTCCTCTGTCTTGCTCAGGACCCCTTTGGCCTCCATCCTGCCAGTTGGGAGACCCCAGCTCACCCTAAGGGGAGCAAGCTCCCTCTACTGTGAGTTCCCAGCTCTTTGCCCTGTCACATATGGAACCCTGGGTTTGGAGGAAGAGCTCCCTGGTAGATTGAGTGGGGGTTTCCTTGGGACTGGAGCTGCCCAGCTGTTCTCTACCCATATTGCTGCCTACAGTGTCATCTCAGGCCAAAGGAGGCCCTGCCATGGGGAGCCTAAGGACCCTGAGGACATGTGGATAAAGCTTAAAAGGAGGCTCTTCTGCTCAAGCGCAGGGTTCCAAAGATCAGGGGTCTATGATCTGGAGAGGTAGAGATGGACTCTGCCTGTTTACCACTGTACCTCTGATCCTCAATCAGACCTAGAGGAGGTTTTGTAGGCTTGCATGCTCAGCCAGGGACCTCTGGTCCGTGTGTGTGTGTGTGTGTTTGTGTGTGTGTAGGGGGAATCCTTTGTGTCGCCCCTGAGGTTGGAAGAAAGATGAGTGGAATGTCCTAGAGTACCCCCCAAGCTGTAGTCCCCATACTAGTTAGGAAGGGCTGTTTCCATCTCTCCAACTTGCAGTCCTCCTGCCCTGACCTCATCCTGGGGATCTGAAGAGAGCTCCCCGCCTTGGGTGGGGAGTGAGGAGAAGGCCCAGAGGCCTCTCTGAAGCTGGACTGAGGCTCCTTTCCCACTGAGCCTCTGAAGTTCATGGACCACTGGCTCGCCTGCTCAGAAGAGAGGGGGTCTGTGCTTGGGAGGGGAGCTTAGCAGTAGAGGGTTCTCAGAAAAGGGCGATGTCAGGGGGTATCAGCTTTTCTGTGCAACCACAATATCGGACTTCAGACATATTTCTGAGCCAGGGGCCTCCAAGGCCAGGATTCTCCAGAGAGGGGCCCCAGTTAAGCAGGTGCTTGGGCCCCTGCATCATGGTACAGCTGCACCTCCTCCTCCCAGCGCTACAGCCCCCAGGCTCTGAGCTCCATCCTCAGAGCCACCTGAGTAATCGCAAGTCCAGCTGGAGTGTCAGGAACTAGAACTGCTTCAGGGTTTCAAATTCTTGAAGGGGCCCCCAGGGAGAAGAGAAAAGGAGGGTTAGTTCTAGGCCCCCAGATGGGCTGGGGGAGACAGAAGGTTTCCGAGTGGCTTCCAGGGCCAGCGAAGGCTGAGCTGCCTTTCCCCTGGGGGAGGCCTGAGTAGTATCTCAGCCACGGTGGGTGGCCGGTGCAGCGGGAAGGTTGCTGGTGGCCATGGTGGGCCTAGGCCTGCCACTAGGGTGGGATGGGGTGAGCAGAGGCTTCTCTTGGGGCTTTGGGAGTCCAGTCTTCTACCATGAGCTCTGGAGAGCAGGTACCAGCTCTCTGGCCTCATCTCCCTCTATCGCGGCCCAGTGGGGCTGGGGGCAAGCAGGTGCCAGTAAAGGTTGGAGGGAGGCCAGGATGGGAGCTGGGGCCAAGGAAGCTGCAGATGACTCACAGCCTCCTGACTGCCCATTGGTGTCACTGTTGTCTGGCACCTGGAGAGCAGGCATGGGGCCGACCGACCTGCTTTGATGGGGGGCCATGGGTCTGGTCTGAGATCCTCCTTATGCCTCAATCCCAGCCTTTCAGAGAATTTTCCCAGGGATCCCAAGGCCCTCTGGGGTCACACCTGAGAGCTCCAGATATTGACCCGTTCCAAACCTTGGGATCTTCTGGGACACTGGCCTCACCAGTCACTCCCTCCGTGCAGCCCATGAGGCCACAGGTCCACCAGTGGTGCTACTTCATTTGCCTATAGGAGAGAGCAGGACCCCAGTGCCAGGGTCGGGAGGGGGGGCATGGTGCTGCTGGGAGTGTCTGAGGCTCAGAGAGGCCCAGGCTGCATCCCACAATTACTGCCTCTGCCTGGGGAGAAGCAGCCCCAGGAATCGGTAGCTGAGCACGGAGCCCCATCTACCTGGCCCTGATGAAGAACACCTTTTATTCCATGCTGGGACTGGAGAACTCCCCTCTGTGAAGACCCAGGATCTGAGCATCTCTTCACTCAGAGCCTCTGCTCTGGCCCTGTGAGGGTCCAACCAGCCCAGAGGTGGAGCTACACCAGCCCAGAGGAGTGGGGATGACTCGGTGAAGGGCCCTCAGTATTCCCCATCTGGTACAGAGGGGCCGGCTGAGCCGCGTTCTCTCCTGCCATTCTTTTGAGGTTTGTTCCAGACAGAGTTTTTAACCCAACGAGTGAGATGCCAGAAGAGCCTGGGCAGCTGTGACATTCACATCTGGCTGCGGTAGCTTCCTGAGTGGGCTGGGTTCTTCAGGCTTAAGGATGGTGACCTGGAGCCATGGCCTTCATGCTTGGTCCTCCCCTGGTGGGAGTCCTTGGCCCAAAGCTTGGCAGGAGATGCCCAGCAGTTGGCAGGGCTTGCCTGACCCCGCTCAGTCCAGAGGTGTGACACCTGGATCCCAGCCATCTCACTCTGATATCCTTAGAAATGACTGTTTCTCCTGAACGCCCCAGCCCCATCAGTCCATCCCAGATAGGAACTCACAGCTCCAGGCTCTATAAGGGAGGGTGGCTCTGCTCCTGAGCCTCCCCACAGCCTCTGCATCTTGTTCTCTATCCCTCCAATGCCCTGAGCATCTTTCTGTCCCTGGTTCCAGGATATTCAGGCTAGGCCTAGCAGGGACGGTCACAGTGCCCTTTAGAGGGAGACACCCAGATCACACTCTTCTTGCAGGATGAGAATCCCAAGATCATTCTGGGATTGTGCCCTACCATTGCTACTCATTCCCCTACAACTTCTACTCCACCCATCTGGCAGCCTTGACCTTATCAGGGAAACAGGGGCACTTACGGCCCTGACAACCTGCCCTTGCTGGGCCTGTGACAGGAGGCCCTGGTTGTCCCTGTTGCTCAGCGGAAGCTCAGATGCGAGGCCCGTGGTGGTTCCTATTTTGAACTCAGGTGGTAGGAGCTGAGGGAAGTTGCTGCATCCTTGGGGCTCAGCAAGGGCAGAGGCAGAGGGAGCTCATGAGGCTCCCGATGCCCGGGGCATCCTTGCCTTCTCTCCTCCGTTCCCTCTCATGTTGGTTTAGCCACCTGCATGCCCACTTGTGGTCAGTCTTGGCCTGGGCACTTGGGATCTGGGAACATATCAGGAAAGGCAGGGGACTCAGAGCAGGATCCCAGGATCGTCAGTCAGCTGGGAGCCAGTGCTCTCTTCCCCATGTCACAAGCCTCACCTGTGCAGCCCGGACCATAGAGACTTAGAGGCTCTCAAGAAGCCAGCTCCTCTCCTGGACTCCACGGTGGTACCAGCTTCAGCCAGGCATCAGTCCTGCTGGCGTGTTCCTCCCAGCTGGGGGGCCACCTCTTCGAAGGGGAAAAAGAATCCTTTGGGCAGCCCCAGTCACCCTTCCCACATGGCCCCTTGCCCACGGGCTCTGACCCAGCCACCTGTTCTTAAAGTTGCCCCCACCCTCCACGGGGCCTGGGTTCTTCAAGGACCCCAAGGGAGGGCAGATCTCAGCTCCTCTCTGCAGATGTGGTCGGAGGTCTCTTCCCAATAGTCGTGGAATGATGTGTGCTTCCAGAAGCACTTCCTTTGTCCCCACCTAGATTGGCTCCCAGCTGGGGGTGCTGCTGGCCTCAGCCCCGGGCCGTCAGGGCGCCTGTGCCCTCGCCCTCCCTCCGGGCTGGTGCGGCTGGCCATCTTTCACGCAGAGTTACGTAAGCTTGAGTCAATTGGAGCTCAGAGCAGTTCATTGTGGGCTATTTTTAAGCTGTAACACGTCTCAGCAGAGGGGTCACTGCACCACGGCTTGCAGGGAAGGTTGTTTAAACATCTGTTATTTAAATTTCCTATGCCTTAGAGCTCAAAAGCCACATCCTCCTGGCACTCCTGGATCTGCATTCCACATTCCAGATTAGGAGTAGATTATCACCCCTCATCCCACCAAGGGCTCCCCTGGGGCCGGAGTTCTCTGCACCCTGGCTGTCTTCCTTCCAGGTCAGGCAGGGAGACCAGGCAGGAGGAGGGCCCCGCTGCCTCTCTGGAATGAGTGCACCCTGGCCAGGACAGGCTTCAGAGAAGCAGGATGTTAGTGCTCAGAGGTCACTTGGATAGCCCCAGGGAGGAGGGTCAGGAGAGGGAAACACAGAGCACTACCGAACAGTCTGTGGAGCCAGGAGACCAAGGGTGCTTCCTTCCTCCCTGGGGGCCTCGGTTTCCCGTTAGTACCCGGAGCAGGTTGGAGCACAACATCCTTTTAGGTCTTTTCAGAAGCCTGCCTTTACCTGGGCTGTGCTTCTACCCAGAAGGCCCTCCCTTCACAGATCTAAATGCTACCCATCTGCACCCTCAGGGTCTGGGGCAGGAGGGCTGGTGTATGAGCTCCTGGACGGTGGGCATAAACTTCTGGGGAAACAGGCCTTGCTTTTCACTCCACTACCAAGTGGTTGCCTCCGCTGGGAGCCCTTTATGGCAACTTTTGATCCTAGAATTTTGGAGATATCCAGAGTCTTCCCAGGGCACAGGGAGGGGAAGACAGGTAGACTGGAAGAGTGCAGGGCCAAGGATTTGACAGAGCTGTTTCCTGAGAACACAAAGAAGCCAAAAATACAGGTGCATTGGAGAATCAGGTCTGGGAGACTTGGCTAGTCCTGGAACCTTCCCTTTCCCCTCAATGCCCTTCCTGCCCACCACCCTCAAGACATCCTAGGTCGGAGGGTTCTAGCCTGATCCACAAGGAAGAATGGTTTCTCAGAGTACCCTGACTCCATCTCCTGAAGCCTGACCCTCTCCACAAGGGTCAGGGCCTTTCCCCAAGGCCTGATCAGAGAGGGCCAGGTGAGGTGTGAGAGGAGGTGATGTCAGGACCTGCCCTCACAGAGGAGACTCCTTATGGCCTTGTCTTCAGACTGGGCTTCTTCCAGTTCTTCTGGGCACGCCCCCCTATCCCGGAGAGCCCTCAGCCTGGGGAATGGGCTCAGCCTCGGGGAGGGGCTCTCCAGTTTGCCATGGCAACATGTTGGCCCTCCTCACTTTCCAGAATCAGAAATAGAATTGGTTGCCCTTCTTCGTGGTGAGAGACTGTTTAAAAACATGTAGGGGGGAGGGGTACAGTGGCAATGTCCCTGCCCGAACCCTGGGGGCTCAGCAGAAGGGGGCTAGCCTGGGAGCCTCTCTGGCTGCCCTGCTGCCCCTCCCCTTACCTGGATGAAATGCAGTGGGCTTTCGCTGGGCAAGAATTCTGAGTACAAAGGACTCAGCCTGGTTCAGGAAGGTGTGTAGCTGGCCCCTATTCAGCGATGCCAGGCTCCCAGGAGGGCACTGGCTTAGAGGTGCCAACAGGGAAAAGGCCCCTCCCAGTCTTGAGCCACCTGCTAAGCTATTGGGAGGAGGAGAAGGTTTCATGTGGGACACAGCTTAGGTGGGGGCTTGGGGCTGCAGCACCCAGGGGGAGGCGTGTTGGCTCCCTTCCAGCAGGGTCCATGCCTGCCAGCCCTGGGCATGGGATCCAGTGGTGGTACCTAAATTTCTGAAGTGTGGATCCAGAGCCTGGTGGCCTGGCTTCAAATTCTGGCTCTACTGCTCATTTCGCTGAGATCTCAGTGAGTTCTCTCTCTTCTCTGTGCCTTGATTTCCTCATTTGTTAAATAGGGATGAGAATGCCCAGCTCATCCAATCACTAAGAGGCTGGGTTACAAGCCCTCAGCACTGCCCGGCCCGCAGGAAGAACCCAATCAGCGCCCGTCATTGTTCTTATAAGGGGTGTTTGCTTCCCAGGGGGGAAGAGCCTTCTCCTCTCTCAGGACTGCTTTCTCTGGGCCTGCCTTCATGGGCCATACCCTTCAGTTGGCTCTGCCCCCCTCCCTTCCTGAGGATACCTCAGGAAGATATCTCAGGTCAGTTGGTCACAAAGCTCCCAGCCCTGGAAAGGAGGATTCTGCCCCACTTCTGTAGGAGATGGGGATGGCTGAGTGGTCGGACAGGCAGGGGGCTCTCAGGGCCTCCCTCCCTGCCTCCCCAGCTCCCCCCGCCCCGCACCTGCGCTAGAGGCTGCCACGAGCATCTCTGTTGTGCGGGAAGAAATCAGTTTGCTCGGGGCCAGAGATTAATGAAGTTGATAGTGTTCAGCGAGTGTGTGCATATGTGCATATACGGAAGCAGGCCACTCGGACCCTTCGGCTCTGCCACCTTCCTGGGCCGTAGTGGGGGATGAGCAGTAGCGTTGGAGACATCTATTCCCACGCCGAACTGAAGGCAGCATCTGGGGGAGGGGGAGGAGGCCCCGGGGGGCCTGAATGGGGCTGAGTCAGGCTTTGCCCAGTGCCTGTCAGGAAGATGCAGATGCTGCACAGTGCCCGTCCTGGTCCCCGGTCACGTCGTTTCACACCCCACGGCCAACTGTAAGCACTATTTTTAACCTTTGTGAAAACACGGCTTCAGAGGACAAGCCGATAGCTGCATTCTCCACAGACCTGTTTCCTGGGCAGAAAGACTGAGGCCTGAAAGGACACAGGCCTGGGGACCAGAAGGAAGAGGCTCAGAGCTCACAGCTGGGAGGAGGGAGGAGGGCTGACCCCGTCCCAGGTCAGAACCTCCAGAGTAGGCCTGTGGTAATGGGTGGGTCCCCAAACTGCTGCCCAGGCCTGTCTTCTATGGCTGTAGGGCACATCTAGGCCTGGGCTGGTGGTCCAGACAGGTCCCACCCCTCTCTGTCCTATGTTTGCCCATCTGAGAAAGGGAGGGTGGGAGTGTCCACCCAGTCTAATAGCTTACATTTCCTATGTGCCCACTCTAGGTCCAGTCCTGTGTCCAGCTTGCCCTCACTACATACACAGCTCTGCCCACTGTGTGCCCAGTCCGGCACCAACCATATCCGCACCCCATAGCCTAGCCCTGTGCTCACTGTGTCCTTACTGTGCCCCATCTGTATGTAATTGCCACTTGGCTGGCCCTGTGTCCACTGTGGCCTAGCCCTATGCTGAGTGCTCTGCCCCCCTCCTGGCCAAGTTGACACAATGTGACAAGAGCTAGAACATTCTGACTTGAGGATTCTGAGCAAAGGCCCCACCCCCACCCCTGTCGCCCCCATACCCACTTCTGTGGGATACTGGTTCTAGGCTTCAAGGACATGTGGCTCTGGGGAGGGGGCTCTATGAGGCACAGGCAGAGGAGAACCATCTGGAGCAGAAAGACTGCCAAGGAGCTGCTGTCCTGGAGCAGGGGCCAGGGAATACGGGGGAGAGGAGCCCGGGCCTGAGCTGGGCCCCTCACCCTCTTCTGTGTCCCAGGACTCAGTGGTAAAGGGGCTTTGATCCCCAAAGGGCCTTGTGTCACATACTTGGAACTCATCCCTGGGTCAGGGCTAACGTCTCAAGTTGCCCCACGGAAAGAGAGGAGAAAGAACCAAGTCTGGCATCTGAGGTAGACCAGGAATGCTGGTCTCCCCTGCCTACCTTTCTCCTTTGGCCTTACACCGCCACTCCCAGCCCCTGCCACAAGGGCACCACGCTCACCCTACTGCTGGCTTGGGTAGAGAGTAGTTAGTCACCTGGCTGGTAAGGGGAGAGGGGGCTGGCCTAGGGTTGGCAGACTTCACCAGGGTCCCTGGGCCTTTCTGTCTCCCAAGGTTCCCTGGGCAGGCCCCGTTCCTCAGGGGGGTGGGGCCTCTGGTTTCCCACACTCTGTCACCTCCCCCCCACCCAGGTCACTAGGGGCTGTGATGTGTGGGGTTGCCATGGCAATGAAGTGGGGGCAGGGCACCTAGGGCATGGAGCAGGACTATGGAAGTCACCAAGAAGGTGGGGGACCCTGATCCACCGGGCCCCCAAGGCCACCCCTCGGCCAGCAGCCAGCAGCCGGGGGGTGGCCTCAGAGGGTCCCAGGGACCATGGATAAACTCGGGATCTGTATACTTCGCGCAGGGTTTGTCATTGTCCACTGAGGCCATCACTGATAGGACCTGTGGCCCTGCCTCCCAGGCCCATGCCCCTGAGCCCGTTCACCAGCTACACCAGGATCCTGCTGAGGTTGGCTCCCAGTGTGTCTGCGAGCAGGCCTCCCAAGATGCCCCGAGACTCCCCTCTACTAGCCCGTTTCCGAGCTCCATCGTGGGAACCCCAGCGCATCCCAGCGTGGAGAACAGGACCCTGGCCCTACCCGTGTGCACACACAGCGACGGCACCAGTGATTCGATCCAGCATGGATTCTGCCGCTCCCGGGCTCAGGTGCAGGTTGCAGGGCAGGACAAGGTTCCAGCTAAAGTCCTGGTGGGCTGGGGCAAAGGCCCCTGCAGCCCTGACCAGGTAGCCCCCTTGGGCAGCAGGAAGAGCCGGAGGCTATCCTATTTCCTTTCGGGGGACGAGGGCTCAGCCACAGCCCAAGGTCCTCTCCCGGCTCCAGCCCAAGGTCAGGACCAGGGCAAGTGCCCGTGTGCGGCCCAGGCTCCTCCAACTCCAACTCAGGCAGATGCCCCAGCCGTGGCTCCAACTCCAAAGCCGGCAGCAGTTGAAACTGACACCTACAACTCTGACCACTCGACAGACACCGCTACCATGACCAGTGGCCTGTCCCAAGACCCCCTGCTCAGGAAGAGTAGCAACCAACGGCCAGTCCTCTTGGAGTCTTCCAAAGTGGTCTCGTCCTGCCAGGACAAAGTGGATTTGGGTTTTCAGAAGGAGCCTCCCACCCCAGCGCCTTCTCCAAATGAGTCCTCAGACCATGTCCAGGAGCTCGAGGTTGCCAAAATGCAGGTGTTATCCAACCTGCCCGAGAACCCAGCGGAGAAGCCGCCGGTCTGTACCTCTGGGCCAGGCAGCCCAACACCAGGCTCAGGGCCTCTGGGTAGCCCCAAGTCCCAGAGGAATAACGAGGGGAGTTGCAGCTCTCGGCCAGACCAGCAGCCTCTCAACGTTTGCAACAATACCTGCTCCAGTGGGCCACGGTCTGCCTACCAAGTGTCTTGCCACAAGCAGTCACCAGTCCAGTCTCCCAGGGAAGCCATCCAGATCCCCCCCTCCACTGCCCCTACCTGCCAGCTCCGGGATGCTATGGAAGACCGTGTGCTGGTGTTCGATATGGCCACGGGGAACACCAGGATGGGGCTGCTGTGCCATGACCCCATGGGTCCACGGGCAGTGCTGCTGGGTGTCATGCCCAGCCACCCATCCATCTATGTCCCCGAAAATGTGTTGTCCGCTCCACCGTTAGCCATGCCCATCCTTTCCCCTGACAACAATCGCTCCAACTTCTGGTCTACCTCGCCCATGCTGTCCAGCCCTGTGCCCTCCAGCCTCTCATCTGGAAGCTACCGAGAGGTGGCCCTGGTTCCCAAGGAGGGCAGGCTCAACTTGGAGTCACAGAACTCCCCTGGTGCCGAGACCCCCATCAGAGTGTTCACTAGGCCCGTTCCACTGGGGATGCCCCTCCAGTTTGGGGAGGGGAGATTGAGCCATGGCCATGGTCCGGGCTGCTCCAAACCTGATGCTGAAAAAAATGAACTTGGCCGTACCATCCGGACGCTGGACACCTCCCGGATGCAAGACGCCTCCACAGTCCAGCCCAAGAAACTGCAGTGGGTGAACTCAGAGCAGACCCCAGAGCCTGTCCCACAAGCCCCAACCCAGGAGGGGCCCAAATCCCTGCTTCAGGAGGATATAGGCAACCACAACCAGAAAGAAGTCCTTACTGCTCACCCTGACAGCCTTTGGGCTGAGGGTGCTGGGCAGGTCTCCCTCGGTGGTCGGCCGCCTCTAGCCAAGCAGCATCCCCTTTCTGGACAGCCCCCTCCAACTGGTCAGCCTCCCTCTGCTGAGCAGTGCCCCCTCACCAGGCCGACCCACCTTTCTGGACAGCCACTCCTAGCTGAGCCGCCCCCCTTCACCAGGCAGCTCCCCCTTCCTGGTCAGCTCCTTCTCACTGGAACCCCTCTTGCCAGGCAGCTTTCTCTCACTGGGCAGCCTCCCTTTTCTCAAGAACCCCCCATTTCCAAAGAGCCCATCGTCTCAGGAGGGCCCCCCATCACCAGGGAACCTGGCCAGGCCTCCACCTTGTGCCAGGAAGGGGAGCACTTGAGCTTCCCGGCCCATGTGGGGGTACTTCAGGTGCCCCTGGCCCCTGAGGACGTGTGTGTCTACATGAACAGAGAAAAGGTCGGCGTCGGTGCCCCTGATCCGATGTCCACACATCAGCTCTCCTCCTGGCAACCTGGCGGCTCCCCGGGCACCCAGGAGGAGCAGTTTTCCCTGGTCACCTTCTCCACACCTGGCCCCGGCTGCAAGGTCTTGCCCGTGGCCATGGTGGGCACGGAGCCCCAGGGTCCCCGGTTCAAGCTGACACCTGAGGACATGGCACACTCATCGGTGGTTGCACACCTCGGCCTGCCCCGCGGGGCCTGCTACGAGCTGGTGCCCAGCACAGATGCTCTGCCGGCGCAGTCCCTCGTGCTCTGCCGCCCCTCGCGGGGCCCCTACCGGGACATGGCGGCGGTGGTGATCGACACGGGCACAGGCTTCACCAAATGTGGCCTGGCCGGGGAGGACCACGTCCTCAGCGTGGTGCCCTCCCGTGTGCAGCTGCTACAGTGCCCGGCCCAGGCCGAGCCCCGGGACGCGGTGCCTGAGAACCAGGAGGCCTCCTATTCGGTGCTGAACCGCGGAGTGGTCTCCGACTGGGACGCCCTGGAGGGGCTGTGGCAGCACCTGTTTTACTGCAGGCTGGGCGTGCGGCCGGAGGAGCTGGCTGTGCTGGTGGCCGACTCGCCCATCTCACCGCGCACCAACCGGGAGAAGGTGGCCGAGATACTCTTCGAGCGTTTCCACGTGCCTGCCATGCAGACGGCGCATCAGGCCCTGCTGGCGCTCTACGCTTACGGGCGCACCACTGGGCTGGTGCTGGGCAGTGGCCACGGCACCTCCTACGTGGCACCTATCCTCACTGGGGATCTGGCCCCGCTGGACACCTACCGGCTGGATGTGGCTGGTGCCGACCTCACTGAGTACCTGGCTCAGCTGTTGCTGGCAGGGGGCCACTCGCCGCCCAAGGTAGGGCTGGTCAACCAGATCAAGGAGGCCTGCTGCTACGTGGCCATGAACATGACGGCTGAGATGGCCCGCACCCAGCCCCAGGCCCGGGTGGACTTCGTGCTTCCAGACAAGCAGGTCATCACACTGGGCTCTGAGCGTTTCTGCTGCCCTGAGGCCCTCTTCCAGCCCAGTCTGCTAGGCCTCAACCAGCCTGGCCTCCCGCAACTGGCCCTCTTGAGCATCAGCCGGCTGGAGGCCAAGCAGCAGGAGGAGCTGCTGGCCAATGTGGTGCTGGACGGCGGCGGCACCCTGATGAATGGCTTTCCCGAGCGCCTGAGGCAGGAGCTGGGCCCCCGAGCCACTGTGCTGGGCTCGCCCCACCGTGCTGTCGCTGCTTGGCTTGGAGGCTCCATCATGGCGTCCCGGGACTCCTTCCAGAGCCTGTGGCTCAGCCGCCGTGAGTACGAGGAGGAAGGCCCTTGGGCCATCTACAAGTACCATCTGTGAGCACATAAAAGTTCTGGTTCTGCTTACTTCGAGCACTGTGGCCTGTTTTAGACACAGGGTGGCGTGGGGAAGGACAGAGAGAGGCCGGGCACGGAGTCAGGGACGGGGGCCCCGGCACTCCCAAGGCACACCCTGCCTCCGCACATGGGAACTCCATGGGGTCTAGCAATCCTATCCTTTCCAGAGAACCTCAGAACCCCTCGGCTGGCATTGGCTCGGGTCTAGCCTGACCTTTACTGCACCCCAAGGGCAACCACACACAGTGGCTGCTGTGGGTTTTGCCCCGTTGCCCCGGCGACAAGTGCAATTACCCTTGATTGCCAGCTGGTTGCCATGGCAATTTCAAACATAATGTAATAACCCACACAGCCTGGAGTGAGTCATGAAGGGGGGGAACAGCCCCCTCCCCTAGCTCCAGAGGAAAAGACTGCTCGCCCTCCTCCATCCTGGGCCCTCTACGGGGGGCTGAGGACAGCAACGTGGACAACAGCCTAACAGTTCCAAAGATGGCTGGGGACGTGGAGCGTTTGTGGCCCCCAAGGGAGGGCACCTGTCAAAGTTTGGGCTTCTTGGGGGAGCTGGCCTGGTAATGCAGGTGCCCCCTAAAGTCTGAACTTCGGCTAGAACTCTCTGCTTCTGCGGGCCAGTCAGAATATGAGGGTATGGGAGTGCTGGCCTTTGGTGCCCTGGGGCAGGAAGTCAGGGTCATGGGGGGTGGCAGAGAAGTCCTGGGTCCTGGGTGGGTGGTACAACCTGTGCTGAGTGATGAGGTCTGGCCGGCTTTGTAGGCTCCGTGGAGAGGGAGGCTCCCACTTTCTCCTGTCTCTGACTGGCTAGCTCTGGTGGGAGCCAGAACTCTCAACCTTGGGCTCCCTTTTCCTCCTCAGCCTTCCAAGCTGGGCTGTCCCCACCCACAGGAGGGCAGGTGTCCTCAGAGAGGCTCCTGGACAATGCCAATGCCAACTGCCCCTGCTCTTTTCCCAGGCTCTGCCCTATGCTAAAGGACCTCGGGCCATTCCTCTGGCCGGGGGGGTGGGGTGGGGGGTGGCGAGAAGCCATGGCCCCTGACCCGGTCTAGCTCCGAATAGCGGAGGTAGGAATAAAGTTCCACGTGGGCCTAGTCCATGGCCTAGAAGAGCTGAGAGGATGGCATCCAGCTGGTACTGCTACTTCCTGCCCGGAGGGTGGCCGCAGCCTGAAGCCAAGACACCAAAGCCCTGCCTTGCCCGTGCCTCCCTCCCTGAGCGGGGGCTGAGGGACAAGCCAGGCCCCAGTCCCAACCCTGGGTTCTCATCTTTAGGTTGTTCTCTCCACCAAGGGCCAAGACCCGGCTATCCCCCCAATGCCTGAGAGCGGAGGGCTGCCCTGGGTGGGGAGGCTGCAAACAGCCGCAGATGTAGGGTCGTCGCAGCCCCTGCCAGCCCTTAGGCACGGCCCAGCCTCTTCCCCCCATCCCGCTTTCACGCCCCGCTTCAGCCTCCCCAGTCCTGAGGCCTGTGTCAGGCTGGAAGGGGACTGGTGGCTCCAGGGACCAGGGGCTCCAGGGACTGGAAACAGTGTCCCCGTGCACGCGCGAGCAAGCACGCCTGGGTGCACACAGAATGCAGACCCACGTGCCACTGGGCACCACCGCGCACGCTGTGCTCTTGCATCTCCTTCGGCATGAGCGCGCACGCATGCACACACACAGACACACTCACACGTGTACACACACACCCCGCCACGTGCGCTCACCCACAGGCACATGGAGTGTGCACACGACCAAGAAGAGGTGGAGCACTGCCAGCAGCAGGCAGGGCTCTAGCGAACCACCTCTCCCCCCGCCTCTAAATCCCCCATGCCTGCTTCTCCTCGGGCCCGCCTGTCCGTCCCTAGACAGCCATGACCTTCAGGGAAGACGGAAAGTGTGTGTCGCATGTGCGGGGTCGGCAGGCCACGGCTCAGCGGCGCTATACACCTCAGAAAACCAGAGCTTCAGGGACAGTGGGCAGACAGCAGGAAGGACTGGGTGCCAGGCCATTCATTCCTTCATTCTGCAGACATGAACTGAGCGTACTGAGATGAAACAGAGCCTCTGTCTGCCAGGAACTCCTACCTAGTGGTGGGGTCGGTGCTGTGACCGAGACCACCCAGAGCCCAGAGGGCCCAGAGGTGGCATCCGTCTGGCTTGCAGGAGGTGACCCAAAGCCAGGGAAGGCTGTGAAGGGCCCCTTGACACTCTCATCGGGGGGGAAGATATTGAGGGGCCTTATGTGAGTGGTCATGTCCCAGGCCAGCCTTCCCGGCCCCGGCCCCAGCTTCCTCACCGAAGCAATCGCTCCTGTCAGCAGCCACGGGGAGCCACTCACTCAACATCCAAGGGTTTGGGGATGACCTGACCCAGGATGGGGTCAGAAGACTCCCTGGGAGGTTTGAGGCGGGGGTGGAAGTCAGCTCCAGGTACCAAGAAGCCTGTCTGGCCTTCAGACACGGGCCTCAGGATGGTTCTCAGGGCCTGTGAGTGGGGAGGGGCAAGCCCTGGGTCCCTGCGCCTCCCTGACAAAGGACAGAGAAATGGACTTCCTTCAGGGCTTCCTTCAAGGCTTCTTCCTGGCAGTTCTCAGCTTCCTCCCATCAGAGGACAGGCCTGCTGGGGCACCTTGGTGCAATAGTTCTCCTGTATCCCCATATCCCAGCCTGGGCTGCTGGTGGTGATGCTGCTCATGAAGTGTTTCAGGGTGATAAAGCTCGAAAGAAAGTGGAATCCACACCATGTCATAGGTGACTTTTATAGGCTGGGAAATTCAGTGCTCCGCAGGAAGGGGCAGACTGGGCCAGCCACCCTGGCTGGGACTTGGGGATGAGACAGGCTGAATGGGGTGGGGTGGGGGGGATAGCAGGTTCTGCCACCGCGGTCTGGAGGCCTCACTGACCACGTGCTCGCACACTCACCCATGTGTTTACTATTCCTAGCTAGGGGATGCCAGTCTGTAATGCAGTTTGCCCTAGCGACTGCCCACTTTGTTCTTGTAAGTAGGTTCTGCCCTTTGGGTCAGGTTTTGGGAGCTAGGCAGAGCGCTGGTCCCCTGGGGACTACTACCTGCCAAGAGATTCCTGTGCAGCTCCAGGGCTCAGGCTTTCCCCACACCTCCTACTCCTGGCCGGCTCCCTATCAGGGGCATAGGAAGGCCCCTCTGGCCCCTGTTGCCCACTCAGTCCGAGGGCCTGAGGGAGTCTTTGGGAGCCTGGCCGGCGCCGGGCAGGCCACTGCTCGCCGACTCGCTGCCACCCGTCGTCCGCCCCCCTCGGAGTGGGATTCTGGCCTCAGGCTCTGCCAGGGCCCGGGCGGAGCCGGCTGAGGGAGGCCCCGCCCCCAGCCCGCCCCCGGCCCGGGGTGCGAATCCGGTGCCGGCGAGCGGCGGGAGATGCTGGAGGTTTGCGAGCCGAAGCGGCTGCAGCTGGCGCCGCGTCTGCCCCGCGTGCCCGGAGCGGATTCTGCCCGCCGCCCCCGGAGCCCTCGGCGCCCCACTGAACACGCGATCGCTTCCTCCGTGTGACTGACCGGCGCTGCAGGTGCGGGGCGGGCCGCGCGGGGGGGCGCCCCCCGAACGCACGTTGTGGGGGTCTTGGGGGATTGGGTTTCTGACTCAAGGTTCGGCTCGCTCAGTGAGCGGGGGCTCCTCGAGGGCTTGGGGTCCCAGCGGGGGCACAGCACGCGGGATCTGCAGATCCGGGGGTCGGCGTGCGGGGTTGGGCTTAAAGTTCCCCGTCACCTCGGACGGCTCGGGGGTCCCAGGGGAAGCCTCTGAGCCTCAGGCCCAGGCGAATCTCCCCTCCCTGCCCCCTCTCCCCGCCCCCCGTCTCGCTGGGCTCCTAATTGTGAAAACCTTAACCCTCGAACATTCGTGGTGCCCCACGGGGGTAGGGGTCAGGGGCTGAGCCGACCCTCCTGACTCCCAGGGCCGCCTTCAACCCCTCCCAACTGCCCCCGGGTCCCCTTCCTCCCGCTAAGCAGTCACTAATTTCCATGACAACGGAGAGTTCTTTATGGGCGACAACCTGAAGGGGGCTGGGCGGGGCTGCCGCGGGGTGGGGGAGGAGGCTCCGAGCCCCTGGGGCCCAGCAGCCCCCTAGCCGAGATCCTGCTTCCCTGCCTTAACGTGGGGGCCCGCGGGGGGTTCGGGGCACCGACTCAACGCTGCGCGGTGGGGGTAGGGGACGCACATGTTTCTGCTGGGAGGTGCGGGGCTTGGTGCTCACACGTGTGCCTCCCGCATGTGTGTTGCTGTGCCAGCGGGGGCGAGTCAGCAGCGCTGGGGAAGGGGGTCAGGGTGGCACCACGGTGGGGAGCAGGGCCCCGGGCTGGGGAAGTGGGGGGGTGGACAACGAACAAATGAATTTCTGCCTTCCCCAGCGTGTAGTGTCTGGCAGAGACCCTAGGCTCTCCCAGCCCCCCATAGCTCTGCCAAACTGCTTTTGTCCGCACCCCCTAGACAGAGCCTGCTCCACCAGGTTTCCTTCTGGGGAGCAGGGCCCTCTATCCTTCACCAAAAGCTTAGCCTGCCCCAGTCCGGCCCCTGTCCTGCTGCCCCACTCTAAGGCCCAGACTTTGAGCCCCCCAGGACCACCTAGGGAGACCTGGTTCTCCCCCCTCCCCCACCCTCACCTTCCCAGTTGAGTTTTAGCCACCTGCTGGACCCCGGTTTCGTCAGCTGGGAAATTGGTGTCTCTACTCCCCTCGGTGGCAGGCTGGGCCCCAGGGGTGGGGCAGAGGTCTCTCCGCCTTTCTTTCACAGCATTTGGTGTCGACCCCCAGGTGCCAAAGCCTACCTTTCCCATATCTACTGCTGACCCTCTCCAGCCCGTGGCCTGGCTACCACTCACTGGCAGATGGGCAGTCCTTGCCCTGGGAGAAGGCTGCAGAGTCCATGATCTCCATCTAGGGAAACTGAGGGAGGGGGTTGGTGCTGTGCAGTTGTTTCTGGGTTGTTCAGGGTGCTGTTTCTGGCCCCCCTGACAGGATCCACTGTTGGAAAGGGGGACG